GGACGCCACTTCCCCTTTCGCCGCCATGCCGATCCCGGTGCCACCCACCTGCCCACAGCCGCGCTCCACCGCTAGAAAGGTCATTCCCCTATGAAAAGAGAGGGGTTTCGCCACGACAGTCTCCATCCTGCTCCTGGGCAAGCTTTCCAGGGCTCTGACCACGCAGGTGGGGATAACGGCGGCTGCCCACCCACCACGCTCGCTAGGTGTTCGACGATTTGCTTGTTCAGCAATGGACTCCGACGAGGAGGAGGCGTTCGCAGCTCTGATGGAGGAGCTAATTTGCGCCGAATTTGGGCCTAATTTGCGCCGAACTTGGGCTGAACTTGACGGTTGGGGGGCGAACTTGAGGGGCTGCTGGGAACCCGAGCACCCCCATGCCGAAAATATAGCTGGTAAGCCTCCAAGAGGCGCTATTTCAAGCCCTTGGGGCCCGAACGGCTGGAGATGCTCTTACCCTGGAGCCCACCTCATCTGTTTCCAGACACTGTTGGCGGTCGATGCTTGAAGCTCTCCCCTTGGCTATCTTACAGGGTTGGAAGCTAGCTAGCTGCCAGAGGTGAGTCAATTCAATAAAGCTTGTAGGATCGGAAGACTTCAAAGATGTGGTGGCTCCATCTCCCCTCTCGTTTCTCTCATCGTCCTTGTTTGACAAAAAGGGGGCAGCGGCACTAATCCTTCATCGATATGGTGTATTGCGTGTCGTGCAAGCTGTCGGCGGGATGTTCCTTGTTCATCAGATGCACAATGCCGAACCTAGTCACCAAAGCCGCAGATTCAACCATCACATGTGTGGCTGCAAAGTGTGAGGGTTGGTCGTCGGCAGGTAAGGGGTCTTACGCCGACCCACCCCCTCCCCCATCTCCTCTTACTCAACATCCAAGTATAGGAGGCCCCAACCTCCTTCCTACAATTTCCATTTCTTTCTCGGCTGGCTTTGGTGGCTAGGGTTGGCATATTCAGGGTTGGTCTAGATGTGTTGACAAGGTGAAGTCAATCGGTCTCGCTGAGGTTGGCATCTCTGCCATGGTCGGCTGCAATACCTGGACCCGACTACATTTTAACAATTTTGTTTGTGGTTCTGTGTGCAAGTTCAAAAGACTTGTCTGTAATTCTTATTCTCCTTTGTTAACATGTTGGGGGATATGTCTTGTGATCTTTAGTTTGTTCATGGTTCCTTTCGAAGAAAGATGACTGCTACTGACATAGTCGTGAGAGACAATGGTACCACCAATTCGTGGGTCATGTAGAACTGGTGATTCCAACACAAGATCAGTCGTAACACACTTTCGGCGCATAACAGTGAATATGCCATGGATCGATCACGTTATGCGCGACATCAAAAGCTCATCGCCACACAACAAAAATATGCATACATACCATTGAAAGCATCACATCAAAAATTTGAATGCACGTGATAGAACCTCAGTATATGATGCATCGAGAGTGACCTTCTATCCTTACCCCTACTTTTTGCTTAAATAGATGTAGACGATTATAAGCTTGGGAAACAAAAAAATGAGAGAGAGAGAGAGAGAGAGAGAGAGAGAGAGAGATGAAAACAAACCTGATGACCAGAAAATAATTGGACAAGAAAAACCTCAGGATGATGCATTGAGAGTGTCATCCTGCCTTATCTTGTGCTTTTGTGCTTAAATGGATGCATGCTTTTTGTAAGTTTGACAACAAAATAGTGCGAGAGAGTTGAAATCAACCATGGCGATGAAAAGTGGACAACAAAGGTCAGTCGTAACGAGCTTTCGGCGTGTAAATACGAATATGCCATGGATTGATCACGTTATGCGTGGCAATAAAAGCTCATTGACACAACAAATAGATACATATCATTGAAAGCGTCACATCGAGATTTCTATTTAATGCACACGATACAACCATAAGATATGATGCATTGTGAGCACCTTAATATCGTTATCTTGTGTTTTGTGCTTAAGCAATTTATAGATGCAGTGGTTTATAAGTTTGGGAAACAAAAAAGTTTATGTATGAGAGAGGGAGAGAGAGAGTTCAAACAATCATTAGAGACGAAGGGGAAAAGTGGAGAGGAAAAAATGATGTGTTTGGGTGAGTGACCCCGTGGTGTCTTGTTGCTTGTTGCTTCTCTCCCCTCCCTCTCGTCTCGGACAGAAAGAAAGCAGAAGAGAAAGGTAAAGTGTTGACATGGTTGAAAGACTTGTTTGTAATGTTATCTTTCTTTGGTTGTCATGCTTTGGGGATGTGTTGTGATCTTCGTTTGTTCACAATCACTTATGTAAAAAAGGATTTTTGCCGACATAGTCGTGAGAGACGACGGTATCACCGATTAGCGTGTGATGTACAACCAGCGATGGATGCCAACACAAGATGATTCATTAGACACTTCAGGCGCATAAAAGCGAATATGCCACGGATCAATCATATTATGGGCGGCAATAAAAGCTTATTGACAAAATAAGTAGACCAACCATCACATCAAAATTCCCATTTAATGCACGTGATATAACCTCAAGATACGATGCACTAAGAGTGTCCTTGTACCTTAGCTTGTGCTTTTGTGCTTAAATAGACAACAAAATAGTACCAGAGAGTTGAAAACGACCATGACAAGGAAAAAGTGGACAACAAGGTCAATGGTAACGTGTTTTCGGCGCGTAAATGCGAATATGCCACGAATCGATCACATCATGGACACAACAAATAGATACATGCCATTGGTAACATCACATCAAAGTTTCCATTAAATGCCTGCTATGCAACCTTAAAACATGATGCATCGAGACCGCCTTCATGTCGTTATCTCTTACTTTATTCTCAAATAGATGCAGGGGTTTGTAAGTTTTGGGAAACAAAAAAAGTGAGTGAGAGAGAGAGAGAGAGTTGAAAACAACAAGCAGAGAGTGGACAAAGGAAACCATCACCAAGTGTTTGGGTGGTGCGGTGTTGCAATACCTGGACCCAACTACATTTTAACTTTTTTTTCCAATGTCCCGTGTGCACGTTTGAAGGACATGTGTGCACTCTCAATTTCGCTTGATTGACAAACGTGTTCTTTGTTGTGATCTTCAATTTGTTCACGGTCGCTTTGTAAATAAATGGTTGTTACTGGCATGGCCATAAGTGACGGTAGTACCACCGGTGAACAGGTGATGTAGAACCGAAGATGCCAACCAAGATACAGCTAATCATAATGCGCATTTGACACATGAATACAAATATTTCATTGACTAATCATGTTAGATGTGGCAATAAAAGCTTCTAGACACTTGAAGATAGATATGGAGCACTGAAAGCATGACATGGAGATTTTCATTTAATCCTTGCATTCCAACCTTATATAAATATATGGTGGATTTGTGAGTGTGTGCTTAAATAGATGGGGGGGTTTATAAGTTTGGCAACAAAACAATGTGCGAGGGTTGGAAACGACCACGACGGGAAAAAAAATGGTCAAACAGAGACAAGCCGTAACGCACTTTGGACGCATTAATTAGTACGAATACGCCAGGAAGGACCGTGACATTATGCGCGGCAATAAAAGCTCATGGACACAACAAGTAGACACCACCGACAATCGAAAGCGTAAACATCGAGATTATCATTTAATGCGCGCGATACAACCTAAAGATACATACGAGGCATCCAGCATCATTATCTCCTACTTTGTGCTCTAATAGATAGATTGTAGATGCAGGCAGGGGTTTGTAAGTTTTGGGAAACCAAAAAGTTTTATTTTAATTTTTTTGAGAAATTGGGAAACCAAAAAGTGAGAGAGGGTTGAGAGTTGAAAAGGGGAGTAGAAAAACCATCCATCACCATTCACCACTGTCTTTCTTGCTCTGCTTCCCCTCTCCTCTCCTCTCTGCTCTGCTCCCGGACGGTCAGTCAGAAAGAAAGAAAAGCAGAGTAGGAGGAGAAAGGAAAAGTCTTTAGCCAGCGATGACGACCGCCGCGGGGTCGGAGTCGTCGTCCTCCTCGACCCCGGCGACGGCGGCGGCGGTGCTGCCGGTGGGGTTCCGGTTCCGTCCGACGGACGAGGAGCTGGTGCGGCACTACCTCAAGGCCAAGATCGCGGGGCGGGCGCACCCGGACCTGCTGGCGATCCCGGACGTGGACCTGGCGGCGGTGGAGCCGTGGGACCTGCCCGCCCGCTCCGTCATCAAGTCGGACGACCCCGAGTGGTTCTTCTTCGCCCGCCGCGACCGCCCCAAGTACCCCGGCAAGTCCTCCCGCTCCTGCCGCTCCACCGCCGCCGGATACTGGAAGGCCACCGGCAAGGACCGCCTCATCCGGGCGCCCGGCCCCGGCGGCTGCAGGGGGAAGGGCGCCCTCATCGGCGTGAAGAAGACCCTGGTGTTCCACCGCGGCCGCGCCCCACGCGGCGCACGCACCCCGTGGATCATGCACGAGTACACCGCCACCGACCCAAACCCCCAGTCCCAATCCCAATCTCAATCTGCAGGCCCCCAAAATGTAACCTTCCTCTTGTTTTCCCCTTCCTCCCTCTTGTTCTCCTCTGCTCGGCTTCCATTGGCTTGATTTGATTTCAGCTTGAATAAGTAGAGTAGAGTAATTCTTTCTTTCTTTCTTTCTTTCTGCCATGCCATGGATGCCAATGTGTTACCTAGCTTGCTTATTGGCAGTAAGTAGTTGTACCTAGAACAAATCAGATACTCCCTCCGTAAACTAATATAAAAGCATTTAGATCACTATTTTACTCATCGGAGTAGATACCAATGTGTTAGGGTTGCAGTGAGTCAGTCAGTCAGGCAGGCAGGCACATATAAGTTACTAACTGGGTTGGACTAGTCAAATCTGCAGATAGATAGATAGATACTCTGCCTCTTGTAGCATCTCATTCAGTTGCTTGTTTCTCAATTATATATACGTACTACCTAGTGTGGATATGAATGTGCTAGCTAGCTTATGCAGGAACAATTTGCAGTCAATCACCACACCACACATATATAGCTCGGTTGTTGACAGGATTTGAACACTAGGAGGACATGGCATACTTGTTGGCAGGATGAATATGAATATGTTGTGTTCAAAATATCTTCTTCTTGTTTCTTTCTTTCTTTCTTTCTTTCTTCTATGAATATGAATGCCCTAGCTAGCTAGCTTAGCAGCACCGTTTGCAGTCAGTAAGGTGTAGCTCACTCTATTTTTGGGCCAATTCTGCCTGCCATAACAATAGGACAGGGCATACTTGCAAGATGATGAAAGCATGTATAATTGTGCAGTCTATCAGTCAGTCCCTAGTTGGTGTCTGTGTCGTTCGTACGCTCTATGTCGCTCGTCAAGTCACTACTTGGTGCAATAGGAATGGCTTGTATACTTTGTGGTTTACACCTTTTCTTTACTTCTGAAATAACTTCTTCATTAAAGAAAAGACCATCATTGTGCACTCAGTCAGTCAGTACCATTGCCTCCTTCACTTCTTGACAAAATCTTTTGTCAACTTGTCATAACACTAGGACTGTACATACATACATATTTGCAAGCTGATGAAACCATGTATATATCACTCGATGACTGTCTTGTTGATTTGTTTCTTCAGGATAGCTTTGTTCTGTACCGCCTGTTCAACAAGCAGGATGAAGAGACCCCGGCCCCCGTTTCAGAACCCCCGTCCACGTCGCCTCCAGCCAATCCGCCGCTACAGCAAGCCGACGACACGGCCAGCGCCTCCGGGGTGGAAGACAAGGCCTCGCCATCTGATTCGAGCCAGCTGACCCCGACCAATGCAACCACCGACCACACCTCCACTGCCCATCTTCTTGCAGCCGCCGGTGACGCAGAGCAGATAGCGGATCAGGTAAATTGCTGCTTTTCTTTCCCTTTCATGCATTATATTATATTATATTATATTTTCAGCCTCTTCTCCTGTCTTTCAGTTGACTGAGAAATGTGTGTGTCTTTTCTTATCCATAAATTAAATTGCAGGATGCTGCTTATCTGAATATGTTGGCCCAGCTTCCTGCAATCAGCTCCCCGATGCGTCCTTACACGGATCTCCCTTTTGTCGGCAACATGGGTGATGAGCAGGAAGACTTCTCGATGTATCTGAACAACATCATAGGTGAGCAGGATGTGCAAGCCATGTTGCCCAATCCAGCCGATGACGAAACGGGCGTGTCCAATCCTACAGGCTCATGGACTCCTTATCCCCAAGATATGTTGGACATGATAAATTCAATTGGCCCTATGGGAGCAGCACCTTGGACGCAGCAGCAGCAGCAGGCCACAGCTCCAGTAGAGTTGATGGACCCACAACAAGGGATTGCGGCAAGGAGGATCCGGCTTGCGTACGCTGTTGAGAGGGCATCGGCGTCTCAGCCTATATTAGCTTGTCACTCGGAAAGCGAAGAAGGTGAGGGCGAATCAGCTGGCTGTAGCACAGAAAGTTCATCCAACAACCATGAGGAGGATCATGTCAATGATGCACTTTTCCAAACCATGGTATGTATGGTTCTTCTGACTAATTACCTTGAGTTATGCTTGAAAAAAGACTTGGAGCAAGTCTACTTAGTAGTATTTAATTTACTCATCATAATATGTCTTGCTTAGGCTGGAGATCTGATGCATAACATCACTCCTGCTCAAGCGACACTGGTTTCTTCGGTGGAAGTTGCAGACAAGCTCCAGCATCTATCATTCAATGGTACGTACGTAATAAGCCTTCTTCAGTTTTGAAAGAGAAAGGGGATAGCTCAGTGCCCGTATCGTGAGCTGTGGCTAAGCCGAGCTGTTTGGTAAATTTGCTGCCGTGCAGATGACAGCATATTGGAAGAAGAAGATGCCAAGCCGCGTCGTGGAGCCGGTCTGAAGCAGAGGGTGAAGCAGGACTCGGGTCGAAACGGGCATGACCCGGACGGACTCCTGCGCAACAGTGCCTACTTGCCTGGCCCTGGAGATTCATTTTCAGAAACAGCGAGACGGCGGAGGTCCCTCTGGCTGGCGCTCCTGGTGATGGCCATCCCCCTCTGCTTGTGCTTGTATTGGTTGGTGTCTGGAGGTCACTGAGCTACCGGCCAGTGTAAGCTAAACTAAACGGTTCCTCTTCCTCATCGTTCTTCGTTGGTAGGCTCTCTCTCTATGTATACTTCGTATGTAGTAGTCATTTGAAATGTCTAGAAAGACAAATATTTAGGAACGGAGGGAGTACTTGTGTTGGTGTTGCTGGTGTGGTGTATATACTTGACTTGGTGTGTGTGTGTGTGTGTTAAGTAAGTAACTTTAGGCTGTCTCTACCGTAATCCTATGGACTTTGTAATGTAGCCATCCCATTGACATGACATGTTGGAGAGAGAAATCGACTTACAAACTCTATTGTCTATGCAAGCAAGCAAGCAAATGAATGAATGAATGAATGGATGATTGAGTTATGTTAGCAACTCCATATAAATATATGTGAGTGCAGTACAATGCAGTGCATCTCAAGTTGAGTTTCTGAATCCTCACAGCTTCATTTTTGCCTCAAGTTGTTCAGTTTCAGTGATAAGTCCTGCAGGAGTGACTGATCTGAATGTTGATCAGATCCAAACTCAGTTGATTCTTTTCTTTCGATAAAGTGCATTGCGTTACATTACATATGCTTGAGGACAGTCCAACACCCCGAAACAAACAAATGCCGACTCTAGCTAGCGTTGGACACAATGACCAAATTGCGGATGCTCTGACAACAGCAAAGAACACCTGCATGAGGATTCAGAAACAGTGGCGGGGCCAAGCCTCCCGATGTGATGTGAGAGGGTAGCACAATTTCAAAGTTAACAATGATGATCTTGATAGTTAACTATAGGGTAATTGAGATACGTGGTGTTTAATAAAGAAAGCATGCAATTGAGATACGTGGCTCTACAGTTGGTCTTAGCAGAAGTCGGTGCTCCACGCTCTTGAACTTCCCGTTTGTAATAATCTGCACAATTGCAAAAAGGACAAATAAGAATTGGATTTCAAACAATCCATCATAGAGATCAATGATGGTGTATGGTATTATGGTGAGTAACAACATATTTTTTAGTTAACTATAGTTTAATTTATTAAACATTACTGTTTATGACAAATTTTATGACAAACAAAATATTGCAAATTTATCATGAATAAAATGATTTTGTATGATAATTAAATTATTCTTCAAATTTAGAATTGTGTCAAAACTGTCCTTCAATCTTAAATAACAAATAAAGATCAATTTACAAAAATTCACATCGACAACTAGAATACAAATATGTATGTGCTTGGTCCAATATCAATTGGTAATGTCATTTCTTATCAAAATTTATATATTTACTAATAGTTTAGAGTTTACACACCATTTTAATATAATTTTAAGATTAAATACTAGAACTTGAGACAATGAGAGATTGGGGAATATACTGTATTCACTCTTATATATTTTTCTGAAACTTATCACTGCAGGGTAAAACCGCTATCCAGCTTTATATATTATAGCTCTACTATTAGAAAGAGAAACGTACAGGTTTCACAAAAAGTGCTGGTACCCATAAATATGCCTATACAAATATAATTGTATACTAACAATAAAAATAAACTATTTAAATATAATTTATAGATGAATATTGTAAGCACAAGCATAGAAGATAAGATAGTTATTAATTTATGACCGTAATTAAAAAAATTATAATAAAAAAATATTTTCCAAATGAGTGAATGTATAAAAAATATATAATTAATGTATAGCAATTTGGTTAGCTGAAAGTGTGATAGTACCTGCATCATGTCAGCAATATTGGCCAGCAACGCACCCTTGACCGGAGGAACATCAATCCAAACACCTTGATGAAGAATTTGAAGGCCGCCGACGCCATCTTGGAGGAGCAAGGTCAGTATGCTTGGTCCCACCCATGGTCAAATGTGGCTCGGGACATATCGGGAAATAGTGACACGCCATAGACCTTGCATTGAAGCATTTTGTGCCTGCTAGATAATCACTTGCAAGACCTAAAGCTTCCGAAAATAACTCAGACAACTTCATCACAACTCCATCGATGCCTTCCATGTACTCCCTCACTTCTTCTCTGTACACTTCCACAATAATGTTATCAAAAATATAATTTTATCTCACGAAAGCACCCTTAACATGCATGGGATAACTAATTAGAAAGTTAGTGTGTGAAGTTAATTATATATTATATAGTGGAGGGATGTCCTGCAGATTTGTGGTATTGCTTCAAAGCTTTCGGGGTCTTGTAGAGCCTTGCAAGATAAGGTATCTCTCCAGTCGGCCGGAGTTGCTGCGCTGAGATCTCCATGAAAGCTGAAGAAGTTAACCTTGCGAGCAAAGTCGCCTCCTGAGGAAGCTCATGGAAAGCTCGGACTCCTCTCTGGATTCCCTCCATGACATGGAGAGGAATCCCATGATTCACCAGCTGAAAGAAGCCCCATGACTCTGCCGCGCTCCTTATCTCCTCCACGACCCACTTTCGGCTCTCCGGGGAATCAAACCCGGTGAGATCAATCACGGGGAACTGAAGGCCGCGAATCTTGTGAAGATGATCGTCTTCTTCTTCAGGGAGTGAATAGCTGAGGAGATTCTCTGGAGGGTGTATGAACATGGAGGGAAGCTTGGTGACACCGGCGTCGACAGGTTTATATGTAGGCGGAATAGGAACAGGTTTTGATTTGCTTACCAGTTTATTTGAGAGAATTAATTAATGTTTTGAAGATAGATGAGTGAGACGTGTTTACAAACAAAGTTGAGTGTTTGAAAGGGACGGCTCTGTTAATTTCTACCTACACCTACTCACGCCCCAACAATCTATGTGCAATAATTTTTCTTTTACTTGTCTTTGAAGGCCTTGGCTGAAGGAGATCGATCGACATCAAGATATTGACTAACCCTGCTGCCTGTTTGGTCTGATTTTCAAGCAAGGGTACCTAGTATTCAACAATACTGTACAAACACAGCTTGTCTGTGGCTCTACTCTACTTGAAGATTCAACAATTTCCTTTTTCTTCTACACCAACCAGACACCCAGCGAGGAACGACGGGAGAGGAGCTCTAGTCCCCCCCCCCCTCCCCCCCACGGCTCCCGCGTCGTCCTCCTTGGGCGACTCGGGGGCGACGAGGGTTTCCCCCCGGCGCCGCCACCCCCTCCCCTTGCCGC